TCCTCACCGTTCTTTTTTTCTGGTTTTGATTATCATTAATACAAGTGTTTTATCATATAAAAGGACTATAAAAGCAAACACTATTCATTAGTGTATTGACACCTTCCCCTCTTATTTATCAATTTAGACCATGCGTCGGTTCAACACTTTGGCGGCAACGCAGGTTTCTTCTTTCACGAAACTTTACCCTTCTTTTGCTGTCAGTTCAAATTCCCGTCAATTCCACAGTGCGTTCAGCCTATTAGGATCCTGTATTATGTGCGTAGCCTGTATGCTGTGTTTTGCAAGCTGGGGTAATAATATCCGCAATCTCCAAAAGTATGGTAGGTGGCGTTTTAGAAACACCCTTGACGATGTGTTCATAGTATCTGATTTCAAAAATGCGCGCTATGCAGGTGCGTTTTTTGGGTTTCTTTTCTGGTGGTTTGTAGTGGGTCCTCAGAAGTACCGTTGGGATAGCAATTTGGAGCAAGTTCCAGGTAATACGCGCATTGGGCCTTTTTGAAGCTAAACAAAAAAAATAGATCCCTATCATATATTGTGTAAATTAGCCCAATGAGCCTTAATGAATATATAGAAATTGATCAAAAATAAGGAATATACTATACTTTTTTCGCTTTTGATTTTCATAATAATGCTTTTTTCCTACTTAATAAATTGCAGTATTTAGTATTAATAAGAGTAGTAGTGGGAGGTTGTAGCAATTGCATGTATTGAGTATGCATCTCTTTTTAGTATGAAAAGTCCTTCAGGAAAAGAGAGTCTATTTTTTAGTACTTTAAAAAGGGTTTATTACCCTTCTTGTACTTATTATTTTCTTTAATACAATTTTTGGTATACGCTTCATCTATCGCAACAGTGTAAGTCGTATGTTTATCCAATGAAAAGTCAAAGCTCAATGAAAGAAAATGGAAAAGCAACAAATTATATATCATCAATAAAGGAAATCACGCACGTTGTTTAATGCCTTTTCACCATGTCATCTTTATTTTCCCGCTAAACTAGTATTTTTTAAGGATATATTTTCTATAACCCACAAAAAATGCCACCACAGAAGATTAAACAGGATATTAGCGAGGATGAGCTGAATCGACGCCGTATTAACAATCGGCTTAACGACATCCGACTCGGTCCGCTAAAGCAGATCCCGATAAATTTATTCATGATGTGGGTAGTAGGGAATGAGGTAAGCATATTCTCCATCATGTTTGTTGGAATGGCTGTCATTAATCCTCTTCAGAGTATTTTTAATGCGGGTAAAAACTTTACGGATTTTGAAGATGATGCTTTGGTTGATCATCAGATACGGACGTCTGTTAATCAGTCGAAATGGATTTTTATTGGCTGCTCTTTTCTTTGTCTTTTAGTCGCACTTGTCAAGTTGAGCTGGATGGAACTACTGCCGGTAAGCGTAATGGATTGGTTACCGAATACTCCGCCTACCTATAAGGAGCACAGTGCAGGTATATTTTTAAGAGATTAAATAATATGCAGATAATATTGTTAGGTGTGAGTGTAAAGATTGAAAAATTACGAGTACGATTTAATAATTGCTCTTCTAGTAGTTAAAAAAAAAGGAATATGGTAGTATAATGCAATCACACAGCTTATAGTATTACTGAGATGCTATTAGGTCCGCTTTTTATAAAATATTTATGAACGCTTTTTTTATTGTGATATTTTTCAAGTTGGTTCCAACTTGAGTAAAAAAAAAGGACAAAAGAATGTTTGCCGAAATTGTACACGCTTGTCTAAGTAAATAGGAAAAGGATAATCTAGAAAGGCGACAATTCTATAACGCCTTGTCGATACGAAGGTCTTTTGATCGCTTTCATATTTTTTGTAAACTACACATATATGTATATAAGGATTAATCTTGTTAAAATCAATTTTGGGTTATTAACTCTTGATTGATCACTTGTTTTTT